CACAGTTTAATTGTCACGCAAAATCAAGGTAGTTTACCAATTATCTTTCACAATGATTGATGGTAAGTAAAAAACGCCATAACGGCAACTTCGTCTGCCATGCCATTAATTATCTCTAATTTATTTGTGTAAGTCAATTGTGAATTCTAAAATCCTAAAGACTGAAAACTCTGTATTACTTGTTTTTGTGAGGTTAAACTTACTTTTTCAAAATAATCCGTCATATTGGATCCACCATTTTGTTTATTGAATTGTTCGCTAGAAATTTCGATTCCTTGACCTAAAAAAATTCATGAGTTTCGATTATCACGAAACAGCACAATTTTTAACACATTTTTTCAGCCATTTTGTGTCAGCGATTCTGTTTTTTACACAGTCATAAACAAATTTGGATTTCTTAATACAAAAAGCCAGTGAGTTTCGATTTTCACTGGAATAGCACGATTTTCAACAAATTTGGTCGGCCATTTTATGTCAGCCTTTTTATTTTTTATATTTTTGACATCAAACTCGAATTCCTCGACCCAAAAAACGTAAGCAAATATGCTTTCAAACATATACTCTTGAAGTTCCAATTTTGGCCAGCTTTTCGGTCGATGTAGACCACAGTGGATTGGTACAATACGGCGATGTTCTATTGAAAAATTTCAACAAAATCATTTTCGTGATTGGGATAACGAAACATATTTTGGGTGTTCACACAATTGGGATACGATTTGCACCAAATTTTGGAAAATACCCAATCGTGTGACACTGCCTTTAAATTTGTATTTATACGGATGTTTTAAAAGAATGGACTATAAAAAACTAACCAAAATTAAATAACAGCAAAAATAATATTTTAAAACTTATGAAAATTTGGTGCGGCTATAATTTGTTCGACTACTGTACATAAGTTGACTATGATTACTCGGCCGTGCTATCATAGTAGCACAATGCCACTAAGCGCATTTTAAAATTTTCAGGCAATAGCCTCATGCGATTAGCGATTATATTTTTTGATGTTTGTGTGAAATATTTTACATTTATCAGTATTTTGCTTTTAATCAAAATATGTTGAAAGTGAAAGTGAAATTAAAAAAAAAAATACCTCCGAAAATGGAGTTTTTTATTAATAAAACTGGTTTCTTAACGAACTTTTTGAAAAAAGTCCCCTCAGATGACAAAACTGATCAGGCTTAAAAAATCTGCAAAAAATATTTACAAATCTTTTCAACGAAATCGTAATAATGAGATTTTTGATGTGTTTTTTTACTGTTTACAAAGACTGATTTACGAAAAACTTAAATAACTGGGCCACAACTATTCTGATTTAGACTTATGGGATCTCGGTAAAAAGGTATTTTCCCATAATTTATATTTATGTGTAAAAAAAGTCATTCGTGTCCCTTTTTTTCAAATACCAACACATCTTAGTTCAACTTTGAATGATGATCGTTCATCCTACCTCTCTCCTTCATCCTTCGAATGAACTTATTAGCAAAGAAATAAAAAGGGTGAGAAAATAACTTTCCAGTGATACCTCACTGTCTAAATCGGAAGAGTTTAGGTTCAGTTATTAAAGTTTTTTTATACCAATTTTTGAAAAAAGTTAAAAAACAGCATCCAACATCTCATTATTACGATTCCGTTCAAAATTTGCTTTTATTTATTTTTAATATTTTTATGTAATTTTTTTTTAATTTCTTTAAGAAACTATTTTTATTCATAAAAAACTCCATTTTTGGAGGTATTTTAAAATCGGTCCAGCTCGCTTAATTCCTAATATTTTTCCGAAATATTTTGGTGGACATCTTAAAATATAATAGATTTTATAATTACAATTGAAAAACATTACAGATTTTTTTTGTAAGGGTAGTGATGCAGTCTAATGTACATATATAAATGTATCATCTTTTCTGAATTAACCATGTTCTATCTGATATGAGTAAAAAATATCTAATATTGTTTTCTTTGAAAAATCTACCAAATTCTACCAATTTTTCGAAGTCCGTAAAGGCTAAATGGGCAAAAAAATAAAGCTAAAAAAAAGCTAAATAAAAATTTTAGTTATGGCTAAGAAAAATAGCTAAATTAACAAATCAAATGTTTTTGGACGTTATTATAACTTCATAACAGTGTCAATTATTTTAGGTCAAAATTATGCATTTTTGTACTTAAGTCAATATTTTTCGTTGCCTCTTAATTTCTAGGCAGCTCAAGACAAAGTTTTTATTCCACCTAATTGTTCTGTAAACAGTGACGATTCGGTGTTATATTTAGCCCCATCGCGTGTCAAAGGAGCTCAAAAACCAGTCTATAGATATCGAATAAAATCGAAGCCTTAGAAGCTTTTCTTTGTGTTTTCTGGCGAGGGAAAATACAAACATATGCGATATGTTTGTAATTCATTATAGCAATGTGTACTTCGCCCCCATGATAAATAAATATAGTAAGGTAGAACCGCTGAGAGTCACTTTTGAAATTCTTGACGTTTCCAAACAATTTAATTTTTGAATTTACTCACAAACTCACACACACATTTTCATTTTCAATCTCAAGCAACAACAATTTCGAACAATTTCAATTTTTTGTTTTCACTTTTATATGATTTTAAAATGTTGGCAAACTTCAAAAAAAAAAATCATGGCCGACAAATTGAGAGAACGGTTCTACCTTCCTATGTTTTTATCATGCTTCGCCCCTGAGTAAAGTTTGAAAGGGTGCGCTTACATAGATGCAGATGAAGTAAAATATCATGACAGTATTTGGCCCCTATTATTAGTTGCATTCGATCTTCGAGTATGGCCGAATGTGCTGATCGAATTAATCATAAATTAAGTTACTGGATAGTTATTATATTTCAAAAACAGTAATTTTGCTGCCTTTTCTCCCATGAGGCGATTTCTTAGAGGCTCGTATATTTGGCAAATCCCAGCGTTGCGGACGTTACGTTCGGACGTTTCTTTTAACTTTTTGCCGAAAAAAATATTATAAGTTAAAAATCATTTGTGGTATAAGGGAAGCCTTATAGCAGTACTTATGAGAACAAAATAATGGAAACAAGAATTTGGGTTGATTTCGGTGTATTTGCCTTCGAAATTCATGTTCGGACGTTACTGAAAAAGGAAGCGATTTTGATATGACCATCAAAGACAACCGATTTCCGCAAATTGTCATACATGGAGAGCACAATCTATAAATATACTTTGAACAGAAAATAATGAAGTTTACATAATATGTTTAAAAGCATACTAAAGGTTGGATTAACTTCAAAACAATTGTGTATGTGCGTTCGGGACGTTACATTACGGACGTTACTCGTTTTTCCGTCGAAAAAATTGATTTATTTAAAGCCACATTGCAGTATTTTATTAAAAGATATAGTACTTAAAACCAACGCTATTTAGAGCTTTGTTTCAAGAAGTAAGAGGGGCAAATCAGATTCCCAAATAAATGTGAAAAGAAATGAAATAAGAATATGTTGTACTATGCCTGTTTGCAACGAAAATGAGAGGATTCGAATTGCATGCAATTTTTCCGATTTCGGTTGACTATTTATCGGATTCGCCCATATAAGGCCGGCTGCACTGAACAATTGCTCACTTGGAACGCTGGCGGGTGGAGCGCGCAAATATTTGCGGGCCAGATCTGTTAATTTGTCGTATTTTAGTTTTGTTTTCCACCAATCGGGAGGAATTTCAAAAATTTCAATGTCTCCAGATTCTACATCCGAGCTTTCGCTTTCGCTTAAGGATTCTAAAATTATTCTAGGTTGCTTATACAACTTTTAGCAGTACTTGTTGAAGGCCCATCATTGTTGCTTGATATACTACTTTACCGTTTAGCGCCTGAAGCTAAAAGCCGGTTATTGTCCGCACCCTGGTTAGACAGACCTAGAGCCATTTGAATAATATTAGAGTGGACTCTCTGCCCATGTACAAATAAACATTCGCAAAAGATTCATACAATTTGATGGGAATGTCGAATGCGAATGTGTAAAGTGATGCGAATTATTCGCATAACGAATGCGAATGCAAATATTCGCAACATCCCTGGTGGTACTGTGATAACACCAGAAACCCCACGGTACCTCCTCTTAGGGCCGGTTGCTCAAAGCCTGGTTGACACTTATCATCGGTTAACATCGTTATCGACGTTTTCGACTCCATGCAAATAACACGGTGTCGGTGCAGTGTATCCACCATAAACTCTTGGATCTAGGTTAAAGAATTCAAAAATTTACTAAAAGAAAATCTTTTTTCTGATAGCGCGGATTTTGTTTTTCCTTACTAATTTTACCTTTAAGGAGAGCTGGAAGTAAAACCAAAGAACGTAGATAACAAGAAGGGACAACTCGTTATAATCGTAGCGAAAGTGCGCAACAAGGGCGTGCCTTCTATTTTGCCCTAGTGTGTTTTTATTAGACGAGTTGTCCCTTCTTGTTATCTACATTTTTTGGTAAAACTTTCCAGAGAAATTTTGCGAAAAAATTATTAAATTCAAATATCTGAAATTACAGACTTTAACAGTTTGTAAAATATTTTTAGTTCACTGTTATAAGTGCCATAGCAACGAATTCGAAATATGTGCACCTTATTTTGGTTTTAAAAGATTTTTTTCAGCACTTAAACTTATAAAATTCCTTCTTTTTATTAAAACTGCCGAAAACGTAAAAACAACCTTACGTCAATAAATGCTCAACCTTAACAAAAATATGTAGATCTTCATTTTAGCTACTATTAGTATTATTTAGCTCTTTTTCGACTGCTCCAAACGAAATTTTTCTCTGGCAACACTGCCCGCATGTGGGCAAGGTTCTCACAACACCCAACCTTCAACCCTACGACCCGAACACCAGCCGCGCTCTCGACCGCGCCTCTCGACACCGCCCGCTTTCTCGGCCTCAGGGTTGCAGAGTCTCCAAACAAAACTTATCATGACGTATGACGGGTGTGGCCTCACATTAATTTTTTATAAGTCGGCTTTAGCAATTTCATATAAAGACCACGTGGAAAAAATAAATATTGGGAAATCATTTTTATTTACTAAATATCGAAACGCAATCAATAAGTTTAGTAAAAGCTCAAAGTTTGAGCAACTGTCCAATGGAATCAATTACATGAAAAAAATATATATGTACGTAGTTGTATATTATCGACTAGCGTCCACGCCGTTTTTTTGAGGGCCTTGTGTTTACTACATTTACTCCCTCATTATCATCAGTTTCCTGAAGTGTGCGTTTTTTTGCTTTCTTATTGATTTTCGCTAAATTTTTAAACAACTGTGAGGCTGATTCCTGGTTGCTTTCATGCTCCAAGAGTTCTACGCTCTCTGGTGTCGGAGATGAGCATGCCTCACTCTCAGCTTCATTTTCATTCAATCTTTGACAGCCAATCACTTTTCGAACTCGGCGATTAGACTCAGCAATATTTAAAGGCTGCTTCGTGACTCCATTATCATCACTATAGTTGACATAACTGTCATTATCACAACTACGTAGCTTGCGTTTCGACGGTTTTTGCGTTTTCTTAGACGGTTTTGAATTTGATTTTGACATCGATATGGGGCTGGTACTAGAGGATGTTCCATCACATTCATCTCTGTCCTCCCTCTCGTTAACATTACTATCGCAGTTTTCGATCTCACTAACTTCTTTTTCATTGCGACAGGGAATATTGAGATCGCGTTTTTTGCGCTTTTTATCATTTTCATTAGGCAGCGTATTAGTTTCTATGCGCTTCAAAAAGTCGTCTTCAATAGTTTCTGGTTTCATGCTTTCAACACTGCTATCTACAGAAATTTCACTACTATGAGAAAATGTACGTTCTATAGCCGTTTTTAATGCATGAGAATGAAAACGGAAATCATGTACAGTTCCTTGATGCAGAAAATTTGCTATGCGGCTATTAGTTTTTTTTGATAAAACTATTACAAAACGATTGAAAGTCTCTAGATGTAGTACCACTTTAGGAATTAGTTTTGTTTCTCGTAAAATTTTGGAACTCTCCGCTTTGGGATTTGAGTGTTTACCCTGTGGCTGTTCTTTATCTATTACATTCGCTTCGATGTAAGAGACGAGCGCATAAATGTTTGTAGGAAGCGATTTTCCAACGGCACGCAAGAGAAATTCGAACCTGAAAACAGGTAAAAACGTAAGGTTTCGATGGTGCTGCGAAATTTTTGACAAACAAATTTACCCACCTTGTGGATTTCATGCAAACTTGTGATGTTCCAACGCATCCCAAAAAGTGTTTAGTCAGATTTTTTAGACACATGTAGTGTTGTACAAGAAGTTTCAAAAGTTGGTCCATGAGTGTACCCAAAGGAATGCAAGCGTTCGCCAAGTTTATCAAGGCATTTGAGATATGAACTAGCTGCGAACAAATAGAACGCTCCATAGAACGCAGCTGACTAAGGCACATATCTCGCTCGTCTTCGGTTATAAGACGATATCTGAAGTTTAAGTTGTTTGCTTTTTGAATAAAATAGTCTGCGTCATCTAATTGCTTGCGCAAAGCCTGGCATAGATACGTGAAATATGACTCAGCACTTTCCATCGTTAAGGACTTCAGGGTGAATGCAGGTGGGCACTATTGAACATATAAACTAAGTAATTACAAAAACTTGTTAGAACTAATATTTATCTCACTCACCTCACTCTCGTACAATTCGTCAGTCACGGCACCCCAAATGCCGCACAATTGTAATGATATCGTGTTGAAGAATGCGCCAGAATGTGTTTTTTGGCGCTGTGTGAATAGAAGCTTGTGCACTAAGCTCAAATTTTTAGACTTCACCTCATAGCGCTTGCAGAAGTTAAGCAGCCACGAATAAGACTCTGTAGTTAATCGATCTTCAAATGAAAGATTATCATAGAGCACCTCCAGGCACTTCATTAAAGCGTACAAAGTTCGCTGACGGTAAGCATTTTCATAATTATTCGTGGCGCTGCGCGAATTAGATAGATCATTGCGCTGTTCGTCCTCCATTAATTTGTCAATTACGTCGTGCAAAATTTCGAGAGATTGCTTACAATGATTAATGGTATGGAAATCTAATAAAATAAGCAAACATTATTACACTGTGGGGATTCACATCTGTCTGGTTATCAGGTTATGTGGTTATTTTTTTTTATATTCAGTTTATAACAATAAAATAGGGTGCATTCCAATAGGCCACAATGCAACAGTTCCTTTAACGTTAAATCTGACAGTTAGATGCTAGTTTTCAACTAGGCTGCGCAAGTTAGACTTTTGCTTCTAGTGCGGTTTAGAAATAACAGAGACGGATTTTGACTAAGGCATCCAGTCCCGGACCATTTTATGAATCCCGGGATTTCGGGATCTTAAACTGGTAATCCCGGGATCCCGTGATGTTTCGGGATATTATTACCAGTAATTAAAATATGCTAACTAGTTTTGTAGTTTGCTTTAGTGCGAATACTACATAGAAATAAAAATAAATAAATTTTTATGCAAAGAAATATAAATGTCTTTATTTTATATCAGTTTAAAAAGCTAAACAAACTGAATAAACCAGAGACATAACTACTATAAGAGAAAAGAATAAAAGTTGAGCAATAATTATTATAATAAGATACCAATTTTTCGAGTCATTTATAATTATTATTCAATGACTTATATTATAAGTCTTTTCATAAGAATTATGGTTGAGATAAATATTTTTAAGTCTTCATAGACCTTTATTTTGAGACTTATATTATAAAAGTCTTTTCATAATACCTATCATTGCGATAAATGTTTTTAAGTCTTCAAAGACTTTTATTTTGAGACTTATATTATAAAAGTCTTTCATAATAATTATGAGTACGAAAATATTTTTTAAGTCTTCAAAGACTTTTATTTTGGGACTTATATTATGAAAGTCTTTTCATAATAATTATGAGTACGAAAATATTTTTTAATTCTTAAAGAATGGACCATGACGGTGGTAGTTGGTTGGGGACCAGTTCGGGGTAGTTTGGAGCAGGGTTGTTGCGAATATTCGCATTCGCATTCGCAACCGCGGAGCTTCCGCATTAATTTTAACATTCGCATTCGCTTTCGCATTCGCAATAATCAATGCGGAGCTTTTGAGAATGCGAATGTTGTGCAAGTGTACCGATAAAACGTTTATATGGCAAAAAAATTACACATTGTAGTCAATATTTTTGCCTGTGGTCGTGGGAGTATTTGTGTAACAAAACTGGTCAAATGTCATATTTATCAACTTTGATAAAAATGTCTTTAAACATATTATTTCTTAAGCTATATAACCGAGCAATCAATGGGCAGTCATACAAGTTCCAACTTCTACTTTACCTTTGACGTACGTCAAAGAGAACATAGTCTTTTTGACAATATTTTTTTGTTTTCTCTTCTTTAAATGCCTGCATTGGTTTATTTCTTTATTATATTTTTTTGGACCAATCTTAAAAAAAACTACTATTTAGATACAAAAGAAGAAAGTCCGCACTGTAATTCATAACCAAATTTTCGGGATATGCTTTTGATGCTACATATATTTGTTTCAATAATTCAAATGTGGCTCTTTGGGGAACTTATTTTCAGCAAAAATTTAAAGAACAGTAATTTTGTTTACTTGTCGGGCAATATTTTTTTCGTTATATGCATTGGATCCTTGGCTAAAAACTTTTGTGGTAAAAGTGTTCCTTCTTTGCTATTTAAAGTCAAAGAGTAAGCTCCTTCAATTGGGATTTCCAGCAGAAATGATCAACGTCTGGCTATAAAAAAAAATCGAAGCTCAAATAATTAAAAAATTATAGGTCTGACCTT